CAGCTGCATTTCAAGCTGAACATTCAGATATTTTCCCCAATAAAACATGCTTACAGTTAAAAATACGGGAAGTTAGACAGAAGATGATGGCTCAATCAGCTCTTAATGTCAAAGATTATGATGAGCCTGGTAGTGAAGGTGGTGCATCAGCCACAGCAACGTCAGCAGCTTACACTCAACAGATGTCGCAATCTCCTCATACCGGACAAACAACAAACTACGCAACACCACGTCAACAGAACTATCAACAACCTTCTCAAGTCAATCAAAATCAACAGAATTCTGTGTATTCTCAACAAAACTATTCTGAACAGCAAGATCGTGATAAATACCAGCAAGATCGTGATAAATATCAGCAAGATCCCAGATAGATGTCTGAATAGATACCAACTGGATCAGAAACAGATGTCTGGATAGATACTAACAAGATCCGAAATATATTTCTGGATAGCTAAGCAACAGGTATTGAGTATAATCTGGAAGCTTTTATGCTCATATCAGCATGTTTAATACTTATCTTTATTAAGTTTATATTTCAGTCTAATACTGAAAGTTACTAACTGAATTTAAAACATGTTAAAAAAGAGTTCAAAGTGCATGAGAATTAAAATTTCTAATGGTTGCAACCCAACCTGCTAATTCAATGCAAATTATTTATTTATTTATACTAAAATAACAACTATTTTTCTATCAAGAGACAAAATTTTTGTTTGGTTTTACTATTTTTATGGGGTATTAATGTTAACAAATGAAAAAGTGCTAATTTCTACCCCATTCCCTGATGATTTTGAATATTTGTGTCAAATTCTCCTTGAAGTTCAAAACTCCTTCCATAATCTTATTACTTAAGTCAAGTGCTATATATTAAGGATGTATAAAATAAGAAAACCACTTTTCTGTGATAAAGTTTGTGCTAGTATGTATATATTTTGGTTGCCATGGAAACAAACTTTGATTTTAATTTTGGGAATGTTCATTGAGCTAGTGGTAAATTGTTCCATCTTTAATATGGAGTACTGAAATAGATGTTGCTTACATTTTCAAACGTTGAATTCAGATGAATATATTGCTTTTTGTCAGGAATATTTGCTAATTATGCTTAAATGGCAAATTTTCGCTTTTGTTTTTTAAGAATAATTCATGATCGAATATCTCATTGGTTGAGATATTGATAGCAATATTTCAGTATTTGAGACATTGATAGCAATTATCAGTAATTGAGATATTGATATCAATATTTCAGTATTTGAGATATTGATAGCAATATATCAGTAATTGAGATATTAATATCAATATTTCAGTATTTGAGACATTGATAGCAATATATCAGTATTTGAGACATTGATAGCAATATATCAGTAATTGAGATATTGATAGCAATATTTCAGTATTTGAGATATTGATAGATATATTTGAGAAAATTTAGATTTTGAGTGTAATATTTTTGGTGGTTGAAGTATCAACTGCACTATTTCAGGCTTTGAGATTTTAATCCTAAATTGTTATATGAATGATGTATATTTTAGCTTTAGTAGTTATAATTTAATGTGTAGATTTTGTAAATAGTGTGTATATATTCCTATATTATTATTCTCTCCCTCCTTACTGTAAATACTAGACATGTTTTTTAAATGGCAGACAGTGTATAGCCATGCCATCTTCACTGCCTTTGTGTTTATCAGGGCTTCTGGACAATTAAGTACATTAAATAAGCTAAATTTAACCAAAATTATGACTAAGATTAAAATTGTTCTTACCTGATAACAATATAAGTGTAAAAACAGTGAATTTGAAATGGCTATCATGATGCAAGAACAGTTAAGTTCTGTGATGCTATATATCACTTGCATGATAAGCAATTCCCAAATTATGGTCTCATGTACAATGTTTTCATGGGGTGATATGTACAAGTTTGTGATATATTTTTAAGTGACAAGCTTTCTGAATGGCTATATGGATGATGTGCAGCATTACTTTCTAAACAGATTTGGAACTCTGGGAAAGTCTTGCCTGATTAGATCTCACTTCAGACAATGAGATGTGGAAGGCACCATTTTTATCACATTTATCCTAGTATCTGAAAGCGATCTATTTATTGGTTGACTCAACCTAAAGGACTTGGAGACTCGGAGTAAAGTCAGCTATGTTTATACTATATAGATACATGTACAGATATTATTTTAATATACAGTATGGATCTGATTTGTTGTTTGTGAGGTTATTGTAGAATAGAGGTGGATATCCAAATATTGTCTTAAATCAAACATGCTTCCAAATAGATGGAAATGACTTGTTTGGCATCTGAAAGATTGCAAGAAGGTTCCAGAAATTTTGAAGTCTTTTTAGTTGTGTATTGAGAATTAGTTTCAAAGATATATGTAGGTATATGTTTTAACTAGAATTTTAGATTACATGAAAATTGCAGGAAATAAGAAGTATTTGGTATCCACAAATGACTGTTTTTTTGAAGGAAGATAAGTTGTTTATATTTTGTCAGTAAATGTCTTTGTTTTTTTATATATTAATAATTCTTGATGGAGAATGAAAAAAATATTGTTATATTAATTTGTTATATATTTCTTAGTTATTAGTCAGTTGTTTTGAGGGGTAATTCATCTTTATTGGATAACTTGTATTTGGACATTCGCAATATGAAAAATTTTGATTTTCATCCTGATCATGGTATATAATCGTATTAAGTATGACTGCTTTTTAGTCTCAAAAGAATTTACTGAAAGGATACAAAAGTTTAATTTTTGATAAGCACGTTTGTGTCACATGTGTCTAAAAGATGTGTCATGATTTGATTACACTCATTAGTGTTATATTTTCATATTGCACATTAGTGTCGTATTAATTAAATGGTACATGTGATATTACAGATTTGTAACATGTTGGCGCAGATATTTTGATATTACATTACAAAATTGTGTCCTATATTATTGTTTGAATAATTGCGTCATTAAACTCAAATTTAGCCATATAAGGTTTGGTTTATGACAATTAAAAGCTGTCCTTCTGCTAGTTATCCAATATGTGTGTCTGTTTCCCTTTCTTTTTTCATTGTTGTTAAATCTTACTGTAAGTAATATTTCAAGATAGACATCTTTATCACTCTTCCTATAATTCATACCAAATATCTTATAGTTCATCAATCATTGTACTCATAACTTATATACTCATTTCATTTCTTTACTTTGTCAAGTATGTCTAGGATTTATTTTGTTTTAGAAGGAACTTCAGTATGATGTTATGTTGAAAAAATTCTATCAGGGATTTCTTTATAAGGAATAAGGTTGTATATATATTTACTTCACCAGCTGATAGAGCTCAATTACATCTATCTGTAGCTTGTTTCTGAATTAAAATTGATGACCAGTTCTCCTATAATTCAAGAAGAATATACCTTCAACAGTTGACTGTCATCACTTTAAGGTTGATCTTTACATTTTTATATGTTAATAATTGTTAATAACTGAAGTTATGTTATAATCAGATGTAGGATTTATTAATACTGGAAAGCGCTACAGATAGATGAAAGTTTCATCAGATGGTAAAGTAAGTAGTACCAAATACCTTTATAAGTCAGGTTTCATGAAAAGTAAAACTTTCAGACAGTAAAGTGTCTTATGTTGGATGACTTAAAGAAATCGTGGAAGATATGTTTTAATCATTTTGTCATGATGACAGTTAAGACAGCGCTATATTTGATAGAGAAAGAAGTTTGTAATATAATTTCATATCATGTGAAAGGCATTATCATAATTCATCATCAGTGTAAATACTCATTCCAAATTACAAATGTTATTTTAATGTTAAATATCAGAGAAAGAGTTAGTTTTTCACACTGTAAGAATTTTAATCTGTAACCACCTATTTTAAAATCCCTGTGCCTATATTTTGACATTTTTTCTCCCCATTTTTTACAATTTGACATAGTTTTAGAAATTATCTCATCATTGTTTCACATTGTGAATGAATTTTATATTTTTGACATATTTGATGGAGTATTTAGTGCAATTGATTTTTTTTTAGAAATTTGCAATGTTCTTTGTCATTTAGAACTGTCTAAAAAAATTTGTTTTGAACACTAATGTTTAAGAATGAATGAAAATATTGCAAGTTTTTTAAGGAAGCACATTGACTGTCAGTTATCAGTATTCCTTCAGACAGTGGATTGTTGACACTTAATAATTGAGTCTTATAATTTCTGTGGCATGATGTCCAAAACATTAGAGTTATATGATAATGTTATTATGATCCACTCAGAATTTCAACCTAATCATATAATCTATTTGAGGCACTGAATCCTTAGAAAAATTAACTATGTTTCACACAGATGTTCATTACTGAAGAAGATAGAGGAATATTAAGACAAATATTAAGTATGGCAGTCAATGTGGAATGTGATGCATTTTGAATATACAATTGTGGATTCGATGTTCATTAGTTAGTAAACCCTGAGCTGTTACCTCTTAAATCTTGAATAGTTCACTAAAATGAGTACTGAATTATGAACGTCTAATTTGAAAGATTAGATTATTTCAGAAAGACTATATCTCAATGAATTTTTTGGGAATAATGCTGAAGATATGAGTTTGAACTAACTATAGTAGAAAAAATAATATTGTGAAAGAAATGTTATAATTATTATTTGTGTATTGTTGATTGTGATAATGTACAGTCAAATTATAACACCTATCTTTTAGTATTGTACAATCTCTAACAATCTACAAATAAATGCACTGAAAATGATTTTGTGTTTTAAGTTCAAATTTGACCGGTTGACCAGGGTCTTGTTGGTGGTAATTTGTTTGGTATCAATATTGAGAACCTGGATGCACCTTGGATTTTTCAGTTGTTGGTTTACTCAGTTCTATTTTATCCAAAGATTGATCAATAATCAAATTTTCCCTTGATCTAGAAATATCTATGTAATCTTTCCAGCATGAAAAATTTCACCTCATTGAATGGTAGTTCCAGAATAATAAAACAATACAGATACATTAACAAATTTATAAGCTCTGTTATAACACTCAGTTTATACTCATACATACAAAATACCCAGCCATAGATGTTCAAAACAACATAATTCTGATTGTTGAGTAATAGGTTCTTGAAAACAGGTAAACTCAGTGCATAATTACCACTGTTATATTACTGAGTTTGTTTTTAGCTATAATTATGTTCAGTTGTATCATCTGAAACTTGTAACAAATCCAATGAGTCTTCAATCCTCTCAGAAAATCCAACAAAAGGTTTGAAAGTCCTCTTACTTTGAAGTTTAAAGATCTAGATAATGCTTCAAAATGAAAAATCTCATTTTCTACTATCATTTTTTCATTTAGAACATAAAGACGAAAACAGATGCAGCTAAAAATGATGTAGCAATGGCAAAATATCCAGTTTTATACAGAGTTTTAATGTCATATCCTTTTCCAGCATCCCATGCCTGCAAATAAAAAAGAAGATTAAATATATTATTCAATTTGAGTACATGAAGGTTTGAGATCGACACTTTCTCATTTCTATCACCTAATTGAGTAACAAATGTTGTCTAATAGAGCAAATATCAGCTTGACATATACAAGAATTTGAAGCCAGACTTCCATCTAACCCTCAACTCAAGCAGATAGTTTTAATTGTTAGAAGACTAAGTTTGAAACCTAAATAGGTATATTAAATGGAGATGGCAAATAGCTACATTCTATTCAATGTTTAAGAGATATCACCTGTAAAGACATCTATACAGTTATAAAATAATATTATAAACATGAATTTACCAAATGTCGGAATCCATTTATATAATGATAAGTCATTGGCCAAGCTAATAAATATTTAAAGCCAATAATAACTGCTGCTGGAATTGACATATCTTTAACCATGTCAAAATAAGTTGTGAAATCCCCAGGCAAGGCTAGTAAAATACATGATGTACCAGTTATAGCTGAAAATAAACATCATAATGATTGAGAAAACAGACACAAACACAGCCCATGACAAAATTACAAAAGTTGTCAAGTTATTGGAGATGAAACAAAAGTCTGATCTTAAAAAGTATGACAAATGACAAAAAAAAAAAGCAGTTTGACTTTCTGCAAAGTACACAGTAAGGATATCAGTAAGACATATTGATTAAATATCAAAGAATGTGATTATTAAGGACATTCAAGATTATCAGCAGCAGCAAATGTGTGTTTGTTGTCTACAGTGAATTTAATAGTTGTACATACCAACAGACATTGCCACACCTGTAACTCTATGTGACAGAGATGTTAACATAGCCAGATGAGGTCTGAAATATCAAATGCAGTTCATGTATATAATAAACAGTCCTGAAAAAAGATATGTACATTTATCAAAACCACATGGTGGTTATATAGCAAGAGCAAATGTCAAAACAAAATTTTATCAATTGGTACATGTAAGCTTTGAACATATTAATATCAACTTACTTGTAAGCAAATAGAAAAGGTGACATTGGTCTTTGTAATTTCCTGTTTTTATCCCAATAACCTTTCATTTCATCATAGGCAGAAGATGCCATGGCATTTCTACAATAAATTATGTTAAACTCAACGTATAACACTCAATATTTTACTCAGAATACAAAGGTGGCTAAAACTGAATGTAACAATTTACAAGTGTCTTCGCATTTATGTGAAATAAGAAGGCAAATAGATTGTGGTACGGTACCCCTCTAGCAATAGATTAAATGGGTTGAAAGCAGATTGTGAGGAAACATTAATATCTTGAACTCATGCAGCACTGGTAAGGGGCTCAATAGGCAAAATAATCTCTCAAATCTGCAATCTCACTAAAAATGTTTATAAAATGGTAAAAGGTCTATAAAGCAAAATCTTAAATGATTTAAGCATATCTATAAAAATTTACCCCTTCACTTTTATTACTAAAGATTTAGTTACTTACTGTCTGGGATGAAACAAGGGCTGATGCCTCATCAAGCACCCTCGTCCTAAAGATCTGAAAATCATAAAAATGGAATTACGTATTCATCCTTTATTTTTCTATATTTTGAATAGTTGACCTTGGTCTGCAAAGAAATTACCCATTTAATCCCACTTTGAGAAAACTCAGATCACTCTTGAGTTGCATATGAACTCATAATTAGACACTATTCAAGATTAGATAGATGATATTTAGAAATGTTCAAAATACAGACATACAGTATTACATCTGTTCTAGGATACCTGATCAACTGCCAGTTGGAACAGGAACAAACCATATCCATAACAAATCTTAATAGTCGAAACGGTTAGAAAATAATCAACATCCACATTGTCCAAGAAAGAACCATTATTGAGTAGTATGTACCGCATGTAGTGGTTTCCCCCTTATACAAGTTCCTCCCTAGTGGTTTCCATCTCTTTTTAATCCTAGTGGTTTCCACCCCTTTTCTAAGTTTCCTCCCCTGATTAATTATCCCCTGATAAACTGATTAAATGCAATATTGCAGTATGTAAATATGGTTATTTGTAGTACTTCCTACATAGACCTGTCACAAATTAGAGTGAGGCAAAACCAGTTCTCATGTAAAGGGTGAGAAAAGAAAGACTTTGTGGAGGTACCTCCTTTCATAGACCTTAATCAATCTTTAAATTAATTAATTTCAACATTCAACAATTTACAGTTGTCATTAATTAAACCCTTTCTTGTTTGCTAGTTGTTAACAATTAATCCAATACACAGGTTAAAATATATATTTACTGGAAATTACACTAGAAAATATTTCAAAAATACCATTGGCCGCCATCCGATATTGTGACTTTATAATTTTATTACCTTTGACCTTATTCATGGAGGTAGTTCTACAAGACCCCTTGACTCCATGTGGATGGCCTGACAGGTATCAAAGACAATTGTCCAGAAATGTGTTTTCATCGTTTTGGCAGATTAATTACCGTAAATTGGTTAATCTGTTACGGTTTCCATGATTCAGGTTTGTTACCGGATATTCACAAACCAACGACTACCATTCGACTAGCTATCAACAAGAAATACCATGATCACAACGAGTTTGGAAGAATGAAGAAGATCGAGTAACTCATGCCACACCATCCAGGGCTGAGTTACTCAGCAGGTAGGATATCTGACTTGGGGATATGCTTATCTTTTGTGGAATATGAATTTCAATCTTATTTTGATAACGGTGGTCAAGTTCAAGGCCATGCCCTTCACGTTTCATAATGAACACAAACTGGCACATTAATTGGTCAAAAGCAAGGACATTAGCACCCTAACACCTTTCATATTTTCACAAGCTCATTCTATTCAATCTTATAATAATGTATCTTTGACAAAATGCAGACACAGACATAAAACTCAGATTAAATAAATTTTTAGTAACACAAACCTGACCAACAACGCCATTTTGTTTGTTAGTTGTACACGATTATCATGACTTTTATTATATCAACAGAAATTCCTTCTTGACAATCGTGGCACAAATTAGAAATTAAAACGGAAAGAAAATTTGATAATTATCAAAAATAAGTGAAAATAATTCTATTGTGGTTAAGACCACTAGCAGGTACGGACAATGCATTTTGAACTAAATTCATCTTTTTAGGCCTAGTCCTAAAGAATTATTTCTTATGTTCAAGATTTACTTTTTAATTAACCGAGAATATGCGGGATTTTACGTGATCATCACAAAGAAGCGCGCTTTTGGAAAAAAAGAAAACAAAACTTTCGATTTCTTGTGTCTCAATTAGGTAATTATCAGGTAATTAGCTTGTCACATACAATCAGCCATTTGTTACGTAAAAATGGTTTTGATTACGGGACGAGTTGTTTAGTAAATTAAGATATTGTCAGTGGTGAAAATGAAAATGCCCTGGCTAGTAAATCTCATGAATTTTATTTACAGTTTCCACCGTACTAAAGTCCATTATTGTGTTCATGTCACTCATTTCTTTGCATATCACTGACTCAGACTGACTGTCTTATCGTTACCATATCAAATCAATATCATTTTTCAATTTTTGAAATGTCCATCATATACGTCTTTTAAATATATTCAGGCCTGTTCAAGACCAATCCCAGTGCCAATCAATACATAGTTATCTAACTAGTGTACCAGTAGTACTGTCACTGGCTAATCAAGGGTCAAGAGCCACATAGTGTACCTAGTTGAATGATATTGGTGGATGCAAAAAGTAAGGATAAGACTACAAGTTGCAGTTATGTATTCCAATATGGGCTGCCATAGGCTTGCATTCAAACTGAATGTTTAGCCTTAATGAAATCTTTAAGGCGCATTTTGATACAGCTTCTTGATATTGATTACTTTTTGAATAAAGTAAGTGCTAGTGAAATATGTGTAGTTTAAATTTCATAAGGAAAATTTGTCTTTCATAATTTTTCAGACAAGATGCCTTCTGATCAGATCACATATTCTGAAAAATATTTTGATGAACATTTTGAATATAGGTAAGTTTAAAACTCTACAAATTATTTTACTCTGCTCGAGTTCTCGTGACCAATCACCCTTTCAATAAAGGTTATCTCATATTACAATGCTTAAGTTTCAGACAGGCCTAAGATCAGTTGCCAAATTTAAATATTCTACAGTTTATAGTAGTTTATGTTTTATATTTTGCAACAGACATGTGATATTACCATCAGATATTGCTAAAAATGTGCCAAGAAATCACCTTATGACAGAAACAGAGTGGAGAAATCTTGGTGTTCAGCAGTCACCAGGCTGGATACATTATATGGTTCATTCCCCAGGTAAATTGCTTTGATAATTTCACCTGCTTCAAACACACAACATCTGGTTGTCTTAAAGCAGATATGAATTGATATCGGTGGAACCGTTTTCTGTATAGCTCACTTGAAAACCGTTCTCTATTTGTAATTTTGTCCTCAGTAGTCACGAATTATGACTAAGATTAAAGATTGACTTTGGTCTCTTTTATTTTTAATTATCATATTCCAAACATAATGTGAAACCAAGACTAATGACATACCAAGTACCCATTATTAATGGCAGGAATGATTAAAACTGTTTTTTAGTTTATTAATATACTGGCAAAATTTTGTTCATGTTTTTCAGAACCCCATGTTTTGTTATTTCGGAGACCTCTACCACAGGCACAACAACAACAGCAGGATCAGCGTCAAACTATAGCCAGTCATGGCTGAATATGACCTACCTTATTATACCGTGATTTGACAGTGGTATTTGATTGAAGGATATCCACTACCATTTGTTGTGTATTTTTTACGTAACTTTGTTTTAGCTTCAGTCGAATATGATTTACTTGGTGTTGTTTTGTTATAGCTTCATTGACAGACTGTTGTTATTTTATTATTTTATCACATATATTTTGTTATACTCATTGTGCTTTTATAAATTAGTTGATTCCTTTTATCTGTATACATATGTTCAATGCTGACTATTGAGTTTTATCAAGTGTAAATACCTATCTTTAAAAACAAATTAAGAACATCCTGTCAAAGAGAACATTGGTTAAAAAAAAATTAGTTACATGAACTGTAGACATTAATGAAAACCTTGAAAAGGATGTGTTGGTTATGGTTGTTAAATTTATGCTATGTGATTCTGGAACTATTAGTTTTTGTTCAAATTTAAACTATATATTTGCTTTGAAACTCAGTTTAATGCTTTTGGGAAGGTAATTTTTTCTTACTTGATTATTGAAATTGCTTTAAAATAGGTAGCTGATAAAATTTGAAAAGGAAACTTTCCTATCTTGTTTGCCATATTGTTTTAGTTAGTTGTGTAGAGATGTTAGTTATTTTCAAGGAAAGAGTTTTGATATTGACTTACTGGCAGTGCTGAGGATTGCAGTATATTTTGAAGCTGAACTGGTTTTACTTGTGACTTGCTTTTAAAAGGAGTTTCAAATATAGAATTATACTTGGCATTGTCTGTTGTCATATTTTCTAGTCTATCACTGCATCAATTGTTAATAAAAGAAGTGTGTTAATAAAACATGGAAATACCACAACAGCTAAATATTCATACATCTGACTATAGGGCTAAATGTTCAGTTCGAATATGTGTTGAACATTGCTCATTATTGACTACTGACCAAGGGAGGTAATGAACATGAAATATTTGCCAGATCAAAATAATTGTCAGTTTGTATCAATAAATTTAGATTGGATTTGTTTGATATTTTGTGTGTGCTGTCATTATATTAAGAACAGGATTTTGTTCAAATAAATTCTAATTGTATTATAACTGTTAATGTTAGAATGTAATAAACTTTCTTTTCATGCCAGGGCATTTGCCTACACAATTGTCTTTGAAACCAATCATGGTTTACAGTTACCCATGCAATAGAATAGAATTTTGGAATAGTTTCACAATAAGAAAGCTATGGTTTGCTATGTAACCTCTATTATTTTCATTTTTGTAACCTTCACTTAGAATAACTAATGTCATGATGGGAACTCCAGAAAGATGTTCAAGTCAAAACTTCATGTACCGTACATATGAAATGTTAAATGAATATGAAAAGATCTCATGATTATGATTAGATTTTGATGAGCTCGCGTTCTTTAGCCTTGTACGTTAATTTCCTATTTTATCCACCATTCCAGTGCCTTCTACTCCATTATAGAAAAAGAAATTATTGTGTGGTGGATCTCTCTGTGATACAGCCTGAAATAAAATAAATTTTGAGTTCTGTATACTCCTTTTCTGTATCAAATCAATAAGACACTCGATTTTGACAAGACAAATCAAATCGAAAATATTTCCTAAGGTTATTTGGTAGTATATACCACACAATAGTTACCACTGAATGAGGAACCACAAAGTAAATATTAAAGTAAATAACCCAACAACTCACCTTGATGATTTCTTGTCCTAAAACTCCTCCAACAATAGCACATACTGGACTCAATTCACTAAAACAATATCTGAAAAGAAAAAAAATTTCATAGATTGAAAATAAATAACTTGTGTTTTCTCTAAATAAAAATATGATTTTAAAACTCCAATGCAATGCTGTAAGTGACATAAACACACCAGTTACTTACTCTGTAAAGTCAACAGGAAATTTCTTGTCTGTTAACTTATTTTTCTCCATTATTTTTGTACGACATTCACATAAAGCTTTAACATCATTCTCAACAGATGTTAGAAGTGGTCGTCTTTTATGTTCTTCCATAAAATTCAAAATAGCTGAAAAAAGACTAGATGAGATATGACAAAATTCAGTCTGAACAGTTTGTGAAGTCAGACAAGTATAAATAAAAACACTTCTTAGACCATGAAATCCAAACTATAAAATTGAATCTAATTGCCAATGACAGGCATAACATTTCTGTCTATCTCCCTAAATATATTGTGTAGTCATCTTTCATTGCCCACAATATCTACTTACCTAAAGTTATATAGTGAGTATTTGGTGTACGATTTATTTTACTTTGATTAGTTGTCACAGTCCAATCTACATCTAATGCTGATTGAAACGTACTGAATATTTCTTCCTACAAAATACAGAAAGTAGTCAAATAAAGAATCATATATTGACAAAAGCAGATGTAAATATTGAAAATAACAAATAAAGATTTGAAAAGAAAAACATCTTTGAGTAAATAATAAGAGAATAAAATGTACAAGGTAAAGAGAAACACCTGTTCAGTAGCCATGGAATATTGAATTTGTTTTTAAGAAGAAATTTGATGATGCAACAAAATACCTTTTTGATAACAACTGTTTCAGTTTCGTCTTTTTTAGCTTTTTTAACGGATGGTTCCCCACTACCTTCTTCATCTTGTTTGTCTGATTTTTGGTTTAACTTTGGAATTTCTCTACAACAAATGATATTATTTAAAGGCTATCAAAGAATTCTGCCATTTCACCAATAATCACTATAACAATTTGTTTTTTGTATGTCTAATGTTTTAAGCACTCTAACTAGCGAGAGTATTTTTTTAGCATAGATACTAAACCACTCAATTCATCAAATATACTATTTCATGAATATTCTTCTTAGCAGTACTAAAAGGGCTTGTAAAGAGGTTTTTTAGCCTTTGACTTCTATTTGGGAAATTCCCATATTTCATCCGATGCCTGTGGTTCCTGAAATTCCAGAAAGTTAACCAGAAATGACGCAGCACCCGCAAGAGAATGCATAACCAACCTTAAATCAGACCACAATAACATAATAATCTTTACATCGTCTTATATTGCTTAGTTTTAACAGAATGGAAGAGTTGTATGATATTTGTGAGCTAAAAATCTGAGATCTAAATATCCTTATTTTATGATAAAATGGTCAGTTTGGAATACAGTGAGGCGAACATTTGGTAAATCAAGTTAGTCCAATAATACTACTACTACTGGACTAACTTTATATTCCAAATAATCACCAAATGAAGTAAAAAATCTGATTCTAAAGTACTCACTCTGCATATTCATGTTTACCCAGATCAGAAAACATGAATCCATAATAACCAAAAATATCACCAGCAAAAAACTTGATATTATTTTCAGCACAAAGATTATCTAGTTTAGTGAGTAAAGATGGTTGACAGCAAGTAGCACAGATAACATCATACTGTTTAAAATAATCATCTGATTTACTATTGATATCCTCTGTGTCTGCTGTCACATTCACCATAGGATTTAAACATTGTGTTCTTTCTAATGACGATACTGCTCTCTGAAATTAATAAATACAATCATAACGCAAATACACTATTGGAAATTACTATATCAATATATTGTTACAGTCAAAATACAACATGTATATTAAAAAGCACTTATATCTAATGGGTGAAGAATTGTCTAATGACAACCAATACAATCTCCAATAATGCTTCTGACTTTACACTAGCCAATAACCATCAAATTTCCAGAGGCTTGAAAGCTTGCACTGAATGGACTGACCCTTACCTTGATACAAACTGGGCATTAAAAAGTGAATTATTGAAGCTTATAGAGTAAGCCCAAGCTACTTGTGGACACCGAATAAAAAACAGACGTTACTTCTATAAGTGTATAAAAGTTACATATTTCACACTACTTACATTTTTACCAAGTTCTGAATGTGGGATTAAAAACTGAGAATTTTTATCTTCTTCATCAACCTACATAAAATTCAAAATAAAATCATAAAACATTCTTGTGAAAATTTAAAACCATTAAAAGGCTTTATAATAAATGTAGTACCTCTAGGCTACCACCTACATCATAGATGCATCTTTGGCTTTTACTTTAACCAAAATAATAGTAAAAAAATCATTTTATTGACACCCATCAGACTCAAAACTAAGTCTCCTAGTAGACTACCACATATGCAATACATATCTAGCTGTACAAGCTTATTGTACGCTTGGAAGAGCACACTGTTAAAATTAGGGATGCTTCTTATATTAACCTATTATACATTGTTGGGTATAATATATATATATTATATATGTAGATATATGAAGGATGAAAATCTTACCACAGTATGATCAAGGAGAGTTAATGACTTAATTCCTGATAAAACTATATTTTTAGCCACTTCTGCCCCTAATCCTTTTAATCCAATCAATAAAACTTTGGATGCTCTCAATCTGAAATAACCAACAATAGCCTTTTAGTCCATTGATAGAAATAGAAAAAGAACTTTTAATTCGCAGTTCGAATTTACATTGTGATTAATAAAGGCGAAATTTATATTTGTTCAAATTCAAATTGATTGTGTGTGTGAATGTTTACATTTTGATAAACGACATCAACGACAACTACCAACTACTACAGCTACAGTGGTGTAACCTATTTTCGTGGATATAAGGATTCAACATCGAATTTCGTAGCGTGATTTATTGCTAAAAGTCACTGAAACAACATAAAAATATGGTCCACTTTGTGTTCCATAGAAATTTTCTGCTGACATGGAATCCGCTAGTTGATCATGTGACTTCATTCGTTGGACTACATTCTAGCAGACGACACTTGGAATTCCGATTAGCGCTTGGGATTATAAGGAAATTCGGCCGATAAAAAATGGTGACGTTTGGTAATAAGTGAAATCCGCCATTTTGTATTTGTCAAAGTATACATTAATACATTTTACTTTGCTTGAAAATACTGGATTCATTCTACTAGATGATATTGTACAGAAAACCCATGTTTATTAAAACAAACTAATGCGGAGGTCGCGCAAGGTCGCTCATGTAAAATCATTAATCATTTCCGGAAATCCACGAAATTAGGTTACTTGACTTTAAGTGTAATCAGTTCAATGTCAATGTGAATACGTCTGTGAAATGTGTTTTCAATTTGAGATGCATTAATTCCTCAACCAGTTACCTTTTCTGAGCATCAAGTCCCCATAGTCTGATTTGTCTGTCATATAAAGCAGCTTCATCTTCTGTTATGTTTTCTCCACTCATTTTAGTTTTTGTAAACCGACAATAAAAATAACTTTAAAGAAAGCCGCCGGAAATATGAACCGTCTTTTCACTGCCGAACACTGTCAAGGTCAGAGGAAAGAAAGAAATTGCACGCTTTCACTTTCATGTCGGGTGATATAACAATTCTATGAAGTACTATGCTACTGTCGAATATTTAATTCTGTTCATAGTTATGTAAAAAGTCAATGATGTTGATTTATAGTCCTTGAGTTATAACTGTATGTTTATGGTGAATTTCCTCTTTGCAATTAAGTTCGGCTGTGAAAAGAGCATCTCAACAGGGTGGGATAGTTATACAAACCCCGAAACGGGCCAGTTATTTTCAAAATATTCAACACTCTTTGCTTTGTGGGTTTTGTACCCATGCAAATATTAAACCTATCGATTTTCGCGATGATTATGAATTAAGCCCACGCGTTCGTTCTTCAGATTGCAGATTTTTTCGGATTTCTTTCATTTTTGTTTTGTGGGTTTGAACCACCCCACACACACTTTCAAATTTGTTCATCACTTTACATTGTTGTGTAGCCGTGGCCCAAAAAAATTACGTATTGATGAGTAGATTTTCGCACTCTCATAAGATAACAGTTTTTGTCGGAAAGTGTTCGTTTTTGATTTGTAAGTTTATTATAAAGGCATACATAAGGCCTATAAATTTTGCTCTTCGTGAAAATTGACATACCGGTAGTAGATTTGGACATGTAGTGTACCATTGAAGTAATTTATTTACAGAGTTGGATTTATTTAGTGATGTCTTTCGCAGTGTTTTACTTAGAACTTTTAAAGGGGGAGAGAACAATAATTGATAACAAGGAAATTTGCGAAAAATTGAATTGATTTAGTGCATATATTTACATCTATAGACATATGTGCATAGACACATATATTTAGGGGTAAAAGCGTATTATGATCATATTTTTTGAAATTGATAAATATAAAGTGGGTTTACGTGGGTGCAAACCATTTTCCTACGTTGGCAAATGCACCCCGCCCCACCCCTCTGTTTCTCCTGCTCCGCTCAAAAGAAAATTGCCTTGTGGACATAATAGAAACTACAGTTGAACAGTGATGAAGTGACGATGTGTCAAGGTGACTAGTATGATTTTCACTGACCCGGTGCTCTTCACTTAGCCAAAACTGGCCAAAACATACCCATGGATATGATGGAAACAGATGTGATCCCATTTTTGAGCATTTAAAGACTCCTTAGATATCTAAATTGTATTCAAGACAAAAATCAAGTTGTTTCTCAAATGCTGTATGATGTATTTATTCAAAAGTACAGTGTATTATGAAGAACCAAAAACTACCATATAAACCAAATTGGCATCTTAACTTTAGAATAATAAGTACTAATGAAGCTTTGTTTATTGATAATGACACACATCACAATAAGCTCAATGGTACTTGTGATGTGATGTCAAACAAAAACTACAAACATGACAAGATCTAAAATCGAAAATATAAGGGTTTGAAAGGGTCATTTGGATCCCTTAAAAACGTGAGCTACCAAAGTTCATTTAACTTGTATCGAATATGCAAAATATATCATCTTTGCTCGACTATATGACGGAGCAGATCATCAAAATTTCAGAAAAACCTTTAAATCGAAAGTTTGTAATGTCATTACCAGATAAATGGCAATCGAAAGCATTTAAAACTGATTGAAATCTTGATCAAATCTATGGAATTGGTTTAATTTTACAGCCTCCAGTGCTCCACTTGTACACATTGACATAGCCACATTGTCCAATATGGTCGTTGGATGTAAAAGGTGGAGTTTTAGCTCCAGAACCAGTACATTTATTATCATAGATATTGGCCTCCCAGCTACCACCAATTATTCCTTTCATCTCGAAAAATCCCTGTTCAGATTTACCACAATCCATGTCTATATCCAAAATCCAGTAATGATCACCATATCTGAAACCACAATAAAATAACTTCACATATATCCGATTAAAAAGCATAAATGGGACAAGCAACCTTAATCTTAAATATTTTAATATACATTAAATCATAGCAACATTTGCATTGACCTGATAGCAATGTTGATAATAAGCGGTGTCGGTAGGCTATCTTGGGATTTGTTGAATACGCGCCAATGTATATCCCCTGAAACAACTTTAACTGCGTTTAAAAATTCATATTTTGATAATCCACTCAGCTGAGTATAATTATTTTCTACAACTTACGTATTTAGAGGATTATATCCTGCAGCTCCCTGTCTGTTTGTTGACCATACAGCAGGCGAACCATCTGGTTTCTGACCATTATACGATCCTTGGCCCACTTCCGTTCCATAGAAATCTAAATAGTTATCTCCCTTGCTCCACGCGTTAAACTTTTCTGTGTTTAATAGGTATAGCACAGGGACTACTTGAGGCATCTTTTGTACAACCTAAAAATTATTATGAAATCATTTAAAGCTCTATCATGTTATGCACCATCATTGCTGTACAAACGCTATATTGTATTTCTGTCAATCTCAATAAATACATCTTACCTTCGAAAAGTGATCTAATAAAAGGTTATGAGTAGAATATCTTCTTAACCTGTTTTAGACCGAAACGTCTGCCCTTATATTTGAAAGTTGAAGGCCGATAACTGTAAAATATCCATCAGAGGCTGGAATATAGGAAGGTGTTCCGGACTTGCTATGGAGTAACTGTCTATTCCAATAGCAGTTAGTTCTCACTTACCCGTGTGGTGAGTATGATCGATTCCCCCTCGTATAAAGACATCTTGACCAGGACTAGTCGGTTTTTGTAGGAGGATGACCGTTCTTTGATATCCGGATGTATCCACTGGTACAGTTGGACGAGGGGTGTTGGGATTTGGTGTAAAGTTGTTATCCGGTCTAGGTGTACCTTGACTATGATCTCTTCCACTGCTCGTACCACCTAATTTAAAAGATGACAAATAAAACAAATCGATTAAATTAAACCATGAAACTCTTGATCTAGGATCTGTGGGTGGTTAAAAGCAGCTTGTGATATGATCTGTTTTCTGTTTGATTCCACGGGGTGATTTTTTTTTTCAAATGAATAAAGGAATATCCCAAATTAATGATTTTTGGTGTCTCTACTGACCCGGATGCAAAGAAATAAGATGGAAAAATCGTTTCTTAGTACAAGAATGTTAGTGAATAAAGCATTATATGTTTGATAATCTTACCCACGACAATGGCTATGATTGGTTCTTCATTATTATCAATATTTACACTAACTCTACCAGATCCATCTACGTTAATTTTCTTCTTACAATCAGTTACCAGATCGCAGTATGATCCACCAGGCATTCCAGACTGTAGCTGCAACTGAGCATGACCTTGTTTAGCCATTGCAAAGAATCCTTTGTTACCTCGTCCAAAAGCTACTACATCACCTTGGTCATACCAGTTATTCAAATCTGTGCCAGCTACTTTATTTCTGAAGGCGACCATATTGCCTATAGGATTCCATCGATGTTCACACATCCATCCGTTTCCACAGCTACCATCGGCATTGATTGTGACATCTTTAGCTGAATAGTCTGCATTATGTGGTGGTCCTTGGTCAGTGCTTTGGAATCCGTAGCTACTCATTACTCTGGTGAAGCCATAATTATACGCTAAAGTAAAAGCAACAGCCATTTTGTAATTTCGAGGATTTTTGTGTGTCAAGAGATTTCCACCACCGCCATGACCTCTTTGGTTGTCGTGGTTATCAACAAATACTAGAGCTCTATCAGATTTGGACATTCCCCATCCATAATCAACTACACCATTTAGTTGTCCAAAGTTGTTAATTCCCCAAGCTATCTTCTGGCAATATCTAAACTCGGTGACTAAACCAAGGTCGTAATATTCATTGACTTTGATAGCACCATCGTTCTGGTCGATGACCTCGTGGTAGAAAAGAGCCTTTCCGCCTCCATCAACATTTTTCGTCTTGGCCTGTATTGCTTCCAAATCGTTTGGCCACATATGTTTCGATGCATCGATTCTATAATAGGGAAAAAGATTGTAGAAAAATAATAGCCCGGTGAAACAAAGAAACAAGTCGTGATGCACCGAAAATACATTACATTTGTATCCTAAATCGAATCTGAGGTTCCCTGGCTTACCATAGCATTACAAACATTTAAAAACAGCTGTAATCAGTTATAAGGTCAATCCCAAATCTATATGCACAGATTTTAATGTACACAAGAAAAAGAGACTTACCTAAAACCAGCGACACCAATATCAATAAGATGATTATAATAATCGGCTATTTTATTTCGGACGTATTCTTTACTCTGATCCAGATCAGATAATCCAACAAGGTAACAGTTTCTAACGTTGTTTGGATCACCATAATTATTGACTGGACAATCATCATGGAAATGTTCTCTGGAGTACGGGACTGTAGGATATGAATATGCATCAGAATCAAAATGTGTACCGGCTGTTCCAGTTCCTTGTCGTCCCATACCTGCCATGTGATTGACCACACTGTCTACATAGATTCTAAATGAGGAGAAAAAAACGATCAAGTAAAATTGCCAACATTTGTAGCACTAAATGCGCTCATTCTGACCCGTAAAGAGAACCAAGTCGAGCTATGTGCGTTCGTCGCAGAAACTAGTCGGTCTATTCTATCTGCATCTCGAATGAGTGAGAGTGGGTGGAACGTTGTAAAGCCATGAGAAACTCACGTTGGTAGGTTGCCGTGCTCGCTACTAAGAATGATATAAAGCAACGAGAAGTCCAAATATTACCTGACCCCAACTGCTTTACATCTTTGCACCATGTCTTTAAATTGAGCTTCATTACCACTTCGACTATGTAGTATATAACTAACAGGTTGGTATCTCTCCCACCAGGGTCTGGGATATTCTTTAGTTATTATAGTGTGTTCATTAGGTGGAGATACCTAAAGTTACAGTATTACACGCAAATTGATAACGACGTGTTTCATAAGAATACAACTTTGGTTGTCTTCATTCATGAAAAAAGGACAATAATACAAAGCCTCTTGCAAAAAGTGTAAGAACTCTTTCAGTTCCAATTTTTAGGTTTGGTGATAGGTGAATTGCTGTTTCATTGAACCGGATCATTTTTTTTGAAGTGCCGAAATTTCAGGTGGTTGTATCGTATTTGTTTCATATTGGTGAAAATAGTTTAATTTTAACTTAATTATAAGCCCAGTGTTTGACAACATGAGTAGTTGTACTTAATAATATATTACCAATAGGAAATCATACCCAATGTTGCGGTCTCGATGAACAAGACACATTAAAGTATTTTACCCAAGGTCTTAAAATGACATACCTGAACTCCACAGTATCCTTTATGAGATAAATAGCGTTCACATTCATTTGCAATATCTGTCCATTTCCATTCAAACAGATGAACTATGACTTGTTTACCATTACAATGAGGATCGGTATATTCGCCATTAGATAGCGCCAGCGACAGTACTGCATGAAAAAAGAACAACAGTTATACATGTTGAGTTGTGAAGTCAGCCTCACGTGTTCTTATAGGAACATAAACCAGAGTTTCGACTTTGACATTCCGCTTTGCGTCAATTATGTAAACTTGCTTTATTTCTTTTCTTGTTGTTTTTGTAGATGATTATGCCAGAATTTCCTTTCAATTATTGGTTATAGGGCGTAAATACATGTGGTATTGGTTCTTTCGTGCACATTCCAGACAATGTAGTTAGTCGTAGGGAATAATGGGATGGTCATATGTAGTGGCGGCGCCAGTGAAGGTAGCATTAAGGGGGGCATTAAGTGTCAAAATGCACCAAATCAAATCAATTTTTTGATAGTAGAACCTCCTGACTCTTCATGAGAAACTTGCGACTATGAAGCCTCCACAGAATTGCTGCATTTTGAATTCATTCCCGACAGTTGTCCTCACATCGAGTCAGTCTGTCCCCTATTTGTACCTCTTGGGCGGCTGGCCACCACTGGCCATAGGTCGTGAACGAAGTGCAGCTTGCAATGTGCAACTGTGTTAGCAGTGTTCAGAAATCTATATCAGTTCAATGCGTTTATAGATTATGCCCGGCTTTCAACATACGCTTTCTTAAAATGACAGAAATTCTGCTTGATGATGACACAGAATATCATTTTGGATTCCCTACCAGAAAATATACGAGACCTACCCAAAATAATTAGAGGTACCATCGTGCTCGCTAGTTCAACCTCATCTAACCTCAAATAATACCTACCACCTGATATAATCTGGTAGATAATCTTATCAGATTTTTAACCTGTTTTGTTTTTCAGCCCAGATTAAATTGTGATAAAAAACCGCTCAATGTCATACAATGTCTGAAATTACGCAATCGATCATTGGGTTTATTTCAATTCGTCTAGGGTGCTTTCAAACCCTTTCTGTCACAGCATATTATGAAATATTCCTATCTAACGCTTAATTATTGTCAGATTGGTATCAGCACTGGTCAGATCTGTCAGCTACTTCTTGAATTGTTGGAAATACATCTAAAGGCGTCAAATTGATATAAGTAGTGTTATCCATAGCCGAGTTAAAAGAAATATTTTAAAGAACAATCTTAGCTCGGCAATATTGGGTTATTGGATCCAGACTAAAAGTTTTTAGACAACCCCTTCTCTTCCCATTTTTGCTTTTTTACTTTGACTTATTTGTCTAGATTTAGATGTCTGACAATGCCATTTCTTTATAATTTTGTGGACATATGAAAAGATTGAGATACAGAAGGTGAAAATTGTTGGTTGCTGTACATGCTGATGTCTACATCTGGCAGCTGTGAACTTTCGATTTTGCGGCAATTTGTTTTTGTCATTAGGACCCTATATATAAATTTTGACAAGATACTAAGTAATGTATTTGTAAAGTCTGTGACATAAAGGAAAGTTTAGTTTCCATCGCGATTTCTGGAATTAGTTATAGAAGATTGAATTACGTGAACATTACGATTTAGTGGAATCGGTCCGTCGGTCTGTATGGATAAACCTAGTTATTTCCCTTACTACTCTAATCTTCGCTGTTTTTTTGTATCTTTATGGCGATGTTGACTGCACTTCGTTAATAGACTATGAAGTATCTTTGTTTCAATTACTCATAGGTTACGATTTGAGCATTAATGATTGGATGGACAATGACATGAAATATAGAATCGTCTGCATCCTGCATTTGTCAGGAATTAACAAGTGATGTTCAGACTTAATGAGAACCTAAATATTCGTTATGCATCCTGTGATTCTTTAATTTACACTTCCAATCGTAATAGTTTTTAAATAATTCATTTACATGTTATGCTCAGTCTTGACGAGTGGTGGTAGCAGCGTCTAGAGACTGGGGTACAAATAGGGGGCACACATGGGGAACAATTGTCGAGGTTGAATTAAACTCCCCCACCCCAGTTCCCCCACAAGCGCCGCCTTTACGTCTGTTCTTTAAGGGAACAGCTCATAACCTTTATAAACTTACTTAATTTTTGATATTGTTAATTTCAAGAATTTTAACGGAAGAAAATGATCTCTCGACAACTTCCGGAAGTTGTCAGTTCTCTAGAAAATTGGACCAAATGAAGTAAATTTGCCCGTGTATCGGTAGCTGAAGTAGAAATGTTACCAGGGTATTTATTGTCTTAATAAAATTCAAGTAGAGACGTTAGTAGGGCCGTATTGTTTTAACGTTTTCGTTGTAGTCTTGAAGTAACTCGTCGACTTCATTGGAGTAATATTTGATGAAGCAGTCTTACACGTAATTTCCGGTAGCTTTGTTTTCTAACCTTATTGACATTTAGAGCTTGTAATGTAAGACAATGAAATCAATGATCGGATGTTCTTTGCAAGATCTTCATATCAAAGAACTTGCACTCGATTGCCTTGACCGAACATGATTGATTACTATGCAAAAACGTATTTTATAACCTTATCATACACATGACGCCAAAGATTTTTTTTTTTTTTTTTTTTTTTTTGATAAATGCAAGTATCTCACAACACGTAAACCAATTCAAATTAAATAAAATTGAATTTTACGTACTTGTACTTTTACGTACGTACTCTGTGGTTCACTTGGTGAACGAGCAACTACGTCCCGTTTCTTTTGGAAAATCAACTCCATCAATAGTTGCTGGCCTTCAATTTATCGAGTTACGACTGTCATGGAATTTTACCTTTTAATATTATGTAACACCAAGCATTACGACTGGTAACTATTCGACTATTCTCAGATCTGCTAGTCATTAATTTATTGCTTATGTAGATTGCAAGATTATGTAGTATATACCACGGTTCTTACGAGTTACATGAATTGAGTTACGAATGAGTTTGTTTAAAAACTTTAATGAGTAAAACAAGTGGTCTTGTAACCATAGAGTTATAAATAACAACAAGTAAAATGATTGCTTGAACTTAATACTGCATTGTTCACGTTACCATTTTATCCAATGAAATAAAAGCTCGTGCAAGTCATGAGTTTTGTTAAAAAAAGGGTGAAGCTTTAGCCGCACGATAACATAAAAATGAATTACTGGTTGTAGCACACCTATGCTCCACCTACTTTCCTCTCAGATTCTATTCTGGCTTTCATGTTTAGTTATCAGAGTATGGTACAACAACAAATTGCTGATAAGAGACCATGGTTTTCCCCGAATACACATTTTAAGCGATTTATTTTTGAAAAAAAAAACATCAAAGGAAATGATGCAATTTATGTTACAAAATATGATAATTGCTCTTCACCGCGTTTTGTTGTTAAACACCCACACTTATTGTGGGCACTGTATAATTAAAAAATCTTATCAGTGTGAATACTGACTCCATATTTTAGAGCGTAATTGTCAGTATCAAATGAGATTCGGTATCATAAATATTTTGTTTGGTAGTTTCTGACTTATTGCTCTTGACCTGACCATCCTCCATATCATTTACTTTTTTTCTTAAGCTCCATTTTCATTATGGTGTGCCTAGGGTGGGTCCCCGTAGTGTCAAATTGTAGATGAAGAGGTTATCAGGTCGAAAGATTAAGATTGTTGTTATCAACGATATAGATGTTCAAGACTAGATTTGTATACATTCTTTAATCGTTTGCTTATTATTTTATTTGGCAGTTGTTGCTCTTAACAATGGCAATATACTGGGATTAGCAATAATGACCGGATTGCAAAGAGCACGCCAATGAAATTATCATGATTGTTCTAGTTTATGCCCTTGATAATGTGACCCATTAAGATGTAGGGACTACAATTTGCATCGGAGCATAGAATTAGAATATTGCTCAGTTCAGTGTTAGAATAAGTTCAAAGCTCCAACTCTGTCTCACCAGAAAGTCGTCCTAACTGAGCTGCTACGGCAACGGAAAATTAGCTCAGAGCATGTTAAGGTCGCCATGCCCCAAGCGTGGTGTAAGACAGAGCCATATGGCTCTGGTAGAAGTGTCCAGGGAGCGTCAGATATTGTACGGTTGGCGCAGTTGGGATCGCCAGGAATCGAGAATGACTTTTGACAAGCGTCCATAAACGCAATTAAATGAAGTACACCAAGCCAATAGATTGTATTAGAAATGACTGGTGTAACGTTTTGATTTCATGGAATTTTTTCTAGCGTTTTCCCAAACCAATCTAACAGGGTTATTCTTGAGGCCCTTGCCCGAATGCGTCATCAGGAGCAGCCCCTCTAATCGGTCTTGCATGGAGGGTAAATAAACCACGTACTAACGTATTTCGCCCCTCCCCAATTCGCCCCAATTTATTCCCAGTTTGCCCCTTCCCATTTCGCCACTTCCCATTATGTCCCTTGCCAATTCGCCCCTTTTTTGTTTTGCCCCTTTCCCATTCACCCCCATTTTTCATTTCGCCCCTGTCCGGTTTTGCCCCCTTCCCATTTTGACCCTTATTCCCATTTCGCCCCTTTCCCATTTTGTCAAATCGGAACGATCATAATTTATTTTGTGGTCTAATTATAGAAAAGGAAGGGACAAAATGGCTATGGGGCGAACTGAACTGGCAAAGGCGAAAATTGGAGAAGGGGGTGTTATGGGAAAGGGGTGACACGGAGAAGGGACGAAAAGGGAATAGTTTAGGGACGAAATGGGAAGGAGCAATGTGGACACCAAACGAAAAACGAAACCCAAAATCCAAACAATATATTATATTGGCGAAAAGCTATAGAACCTTTCACATGAGGAAGTACATCAATCAAGTGTTTCACAATGAAAAGTGGTATTGGATGTCTAGAAGAGTAAGCATACCCTGTATGGTGCCACACCACGCCATATTCGAGTATTTGAGATTTGATTCGTTTTAGGACAGAAAAAGTGCGTTCAGCTGTCGAAGAGCTTCGTGGTAAGTATTTGGCAAGTCTGTGTGTTCAAGGTGTTCATCGATTTCAAATTTAAATTTGTAAGTTTACAATGACGTCCATGATGGTAAAACCAACAAGGCAATTAATACTCCATGATATACTACGACAAATATAGAATAATAACCTACAAATGTAGTTCGAGTCACGAGTCGTCTAAAAGAATGCATTGTTAATTGGCGCCTTATAATAAATTTAGCTTCCCAAATACTCTATTTAGTTGAGTCGCACAGACCGGCAATGATATTTTTAAGAATGAAAGTATAGGAATGAAATTGAAAAAACGAACGTTATCACAACTTATCTGCGTATGTCCACCTTTTGAAGATTGGGAAGTAAGTTATGATTCAACACGTGCTTTGTGAGGTCAAAATAGTCCGAAACATACTAGACTTTAAATCTATGCCCTATTTATGTTTAAAGATGGGTTCCCTTATTTTCATTATGTATGTAGACTTTAAACCTATGCCTTATTTATGTTTAAAGATGGGTTCCCTTATTTTCATTATGTATGTACATACATGGACATTTATGATTGGTTAAAACTCTTAATTAATGCAAAAAGAACATGATGATTAAAAAGCACATGATAATTCATTAGAAACACCGAATAAGCACATAGTTTGCTAAATTTGACACTAAAAAATCCAAATGAATAGGAAATCCATCTTTAATCCAACCTTCACAGATCTAGGACTATCTTGCAATTTAACCGTTTATTATTTTGTCTGTGAAATATCACTTATTTTTTAACACGTCTTGACTGACATGAGGACTAGTTTCTATCATATATAGAAATCAGTATTATTTTACAATTCTGTTGAAATATGAATCCAGGATTTTAATGGTATAGCATAGATCAAGTTGAAAATTCATATTTTAAAAACAGAAAGTCGAAAATACAAACACCGACATAATCTCCACTCACATGTAAATCTAAAATGAAATAACATGGTGAGCTTACTTTACTTCACGATTTAACTTGACACATTGGAGCTTAACATTTGCTTTCTAAAGTCTTATGATATAAATGGCCCCAAAATGAGAATATCCCAATTTTTGTTGCAGCTAGCGTCAAGAAAACGTGCTTTCCAATTCGCGAATATCAAGACTCAAAATGACCTGTCGGGGCAGTCGGAGAAACCAAGACACTGTGGCCATCCCATGGAACGATGCATAATGTACATTAAGAAACGGGAACACGAGTCAGACGACAGTGTCGAGACTTTGAGAGGGGTAAAAGTATACAGTAAAATCAAACAATATATTTATATTTTATAATCCAGAAAATTACATACAGAATACAGATCGAGCTTTATATGATAAAATATTCTCAACTCAACAACTGTTAAAGCTGTATTGAAATAGTAAAATTGAACATCTATAACAAATCTGTAACAATTTATCAATCCTCAAAAATATGATACCTATAACCTTCTAGTTAAGTGACTTTAACTTGCCGTCTTTTAGTTCTCGTGTTTCGAAACACATATAATTATCTCATTTTGTTCTAACAAGCACTGCTATATTTGGCTGATCTAGGTCTATGCATTTTTAAAGGCCTACAAATGTCATAGACTCAAGTTTTTCATTATTAAAGCTGTGATTTTATGTAAATTGCCAATTAAATAATTGCCAACGTTTGATATGTCGTGCACAAAATACAAAAACTAAAACAATAAAAGCTGATATGTTCTATATTTTATAGATTGAAGAATTTTAAAATTAGACTTTAATTGGATTTCTATTTGAAAATTATAGATTTTTTTTTTACATTATAACACTCGGAATGTTTGAAGGATTTCTCTGTTAAGAATATTATTGCCGATCACAGTTATATGAAATAGCTATCATTTAAAAATATTGCAATTTATATATCTAGATTCACTCTGGCTGTAGTCTCTATAACACTTGGTTGTCAAGTCCTTGAATTGAGTATAATTCAGGGTCACTGCCGCTCTCGTCAGCCATGTTGTCGTTCATTTCACTTCTTTTCCCAACAAAGCGATGGTTGAATTTAGGATTATATCTTTTACCAACGAATCTGTATCCGAATCGCGGACTGAGACGGAGTTGAAGTGCCTCTGATAATCTTTTACCGACGAATCTGTGAGTAAATCGTGGACTGTATCTACGACTGATGTAATTAGAGAGTCTTTTCCCAACAAATCTGTGTGAGAATCGTGGATTGGCTCGCTTGTCTACGTCATCACCATCTTCAAGCTGTTCCAATGACTCAAGCAGATCTGATGCATCATCAGCTAATCTTTTACCGACAAATCGATGTTGAAATTTAGGGTTGTAGCGTTTGCCAACGAATCTGTGTGTAAAACTTGGTGCTCTTTTATCCTCGGGATCGACCAGTTCTTCGGAATCTTCATCTGCAAGTCTTTTCCCCACAAATCGATGCTGAAATTTGGCGCTCAATCTTCTCGCAAGTTCGATATCGTCATCCGAGGAGAATCGTTTACCAACAAAACGGTGTGAAAATTTGGGGTTCAATCTCGTTTCTCGATCTAAAATATCATTTTTATCTGCAGCTGCTTGTTGACTATCTTCTGCTGAAGAAGAAGAAACAGAACCCATGAATATCTACTTTTGACGAAATAAAGTCAATATATTGTTGACACTTTAAAACTAACATACTTTAATTACACTAGAATAAATTAATTTAAAAAAAAAACATAAGGCTGCTTGTTGATCCGCCGTATTTACACTATGAGGATCGACTAAGACATAACTTTTAAATTTCTTATAATAATTGAAGTCTGAAAGTCAATGCAAAAAAAAATGTTATGCTTAGAGAATAATTTCAATCTAAGAGAATTAATCCATTTTTCATATCAAAAATATACAATATTATTCCGATTACAATTGTTTTCGTATAGTTTTTAATATAATACAAGGTTCAGAAAAAGTAGGTAACTCAATAAGTAACTAGTTCATTGACATTAAAGGGATTCTAAACCTTTGTTTATGTATCGGATATACACACTATTCAAACAATTAGATATTTTCAAAAAATAAGTCGTAATATGGTTTTCTTTTCAGAATCAGAGTGCAGAAAAGTAGGACGTAAAGCTCAATTCATTTCATTTAATTTCATTTTTCAGAATCAGAATTCGGTCAGGAAATCGGAATGGTGCCAAGAAATTTTCCCTTTTACTACGTACAAAATGTTTTTTTTTTGTACAAACAAACCCTTCAAGAATTCCATTTTGTGCTTCAAAGATAACAATCCGTTGGGTTTTAGATATGCCAAGCTAGGTTTGGATAATACTTTAACTTCTAAGCCTGTATCTTTTAAGAAGACTTGGTTAGATTAGTTTCTTTTTATATCGATATACTTTGTTAAAGGCATTGAAAAGAGGTTTTCTGAAACTTTTATGTGTATCGGGGACACTGATAGCATTAATTTGCATCACATAAATTTTCAATCAGACATCTGTGGTGCACTAAAACTTAGTGTTTGATGATGTCACTAATCGCGAAGGGCCTTGTGTAATAAAGCATATATTTACGATTAGTGACGTCACCAAGCACTTAGTTTTAGTGGAACTGCAGGAACCACAGATGTCTAAACGAAAATCGGAGTGGTGCAAATTGATTCTATCTGTGTCCCCGATTCACATAAAAAACAGAAAACCACTTTACAATCCCTTTAAATATTATGTTTCAATTCAACTGTATGTGCTTTTAAATGCTTCAATTTAATTATATGTTTAAATGTGCTTTAAAACTGGGTTCCCTTATTTTCATTTATTTATTTAATATATACCATTATGGGACGGCTAATACTTGTATAAATCGAAAGTGGAGGTGTTCTTATGATTGGGAAAAATACCAATTTGTCTCAAAAGCCAATAATTAACTCGTAATTAGCCATTTACGAAGGAATTCAAATGATCAAGCGGTCATATAATAAAGATTAACAGGCCTCACAATTTGCATGAGGGGGTAACTCTACGTGTGCCTTTTCACAGCCGAACATTACCAAAACAGCTAAATACCAACCGACAAATTTAAAATTTCAACGAATATGTTTCCAAAATAGAAAAAAAGCGATGTTTTTTTTATTTACTTAATACACAGTACATTTAATTACATCATTTTCAACTTACAAATATGTCGTTAAAACTGAATTTGTTTTAAAAGGATTAAGTAAAAACGGAGAGTACCGATTGTTAATTAAGCAGATTGACCTAGTTTTGGTATGTGGGTCTTTAATGGTTCGTTAGCTTTCGAATACGTAGTAGACATATTTCTCTACAATTAGGCGTTTATTTTACTCAAATCAGTACACTAGTTTTCTAAAAGCTTCTAAAAAGCAGAACAAACTTATAAACCATACTTAATATTTTTAAATATTTTTGGCGTTTTTTTAATTAAAACTTTCAGATACGTTAAAGGACACATTTCGCTACATTTCGGCGTATATTTTTCACAAATTTGATCCAAAAAAAGCGGCATGTCCCTTTAAACTATGCAATAAGTATCCTTGAATATATTGAAATTGGTAACACATGGTTTAAGATGTAAATGGAGTTATATCATATGAATAGTAGTTCCAGATACGAAAGAACGTGTTGAAGATACTTAAGACATTAAGTTTTTCAGTGATTTCGCTCAATTTTAACCCTCTTTCCCTAGCTTTAAAATATTATAGAAAATAAGCCTCTTTGGCAACCGTATTGGGAAAATTAATTGAATCATATCGTGCTGAAAGGCGTAATGAAGATTAGAAAGAAGATGAAAGTGTATAACTGTTATTGAAAGATATAAAGAATGTGATTGTTATATTATTAAATTAGATAATAATCTGTTATATAAACAATATCAGACGTAATACAGGATATTGTCCGTTATTGATATTTATAAACAGCCCGGTTATCAATACACAATAAGGGAAATGGAGTTTTACGCCCTTCTGCGCCGCATATTGATATAAAAATTAATTAAGGTAACGTATTCCAATGTGAAAAATGATACTTTGTTTTGAGTGCAGTAGCTACTCGTCTTTCTTCTTCAATCATCTTTTGATTCTCTAGCGTCATCAACGGCACAAGCCCATGATGCGAAAAATTTCAACGGATGTCATATTTTAAACTTGCTGAACCTTCAGTGCTCGGAAAAAAGCCATCTTCATACAAAAACTTTCATTTTTATTTGTGAACTATTACTTTGAACTCAACTTGAAGATTATAATTTTCAGCAACGGAACGTGATTGCAACCGAAAAACCGTGTTTGATTGGACAATTTTCCAAATTGAAGGTCGATGATGAATTGTGAAATATACCACTGCAGTAAGCAGAACCATTCATTTTGCAGCCGGATGTTTGTACTTGAGATGTCAAGTTGTTCCTTGCTCTGAATTTCAAACCATTAATTGCCAACTAGCACGTCAAAAGAACATAACTCCGGCTTATAGTCCTTGTCATAAAGTTGTTATCATTATATTTACTTAATGCATCTTATTAATCATTCATATAATTCAAGTGTCATTTATTTTGACAGGTTTACTCGGTTCAAATTAATCAAGTTCGGTCTTTGATTATTTTCCATGCCATATCAGGCGATATACTGTGGAAATATCTCGGAATTTGGTTGAAAGAATATGTTTGATTTCATTTTTTCTCTTGTGTTTAACAATTATGGAAATCTTATCGTAAAGTTGTAAAAATTGTCTTCATTCATAGGAAAATTGAAAGAAAATATTGAAGATGTTTGTCATACATGTCATTTCTGAAAGGTTTGACATGTCTATTGAATGGTGCTGGAGGGGGCAGCCATTTTGAAAAGACTTCTGATGAATGTAGTGTGTTTCTGGCATCGTCGGGAATTATAGATAATTTGATTAATATGAATACAGACTGAACCCGTGTCATCTCTATTATATTTCCATATTGTCTACTTTCTCCTACTTGTTGACAGAAAATCCTAGCACACTGCTGAACTTGACGTATTCGAGGGAAGGCTAATGCTAAATTTTACCAAGTCTGTTTTATGTTCTTATACAATCCCCTTGAGTGACAAACCAAGAGAACACCATAGAATCCCCGCTGTAGGTGGTATTTGCTTATTTAAGAAAAAATATATGACCGGTAGATTTTTTTTCAGATTTAAGCTTCTGTACTGGAACACTTACAACTTCTTTGTCGCATACCGATTTCCCTTCCGACATTTAATGTCCTTTCCTTTTACAAAAATCATCACTATAGCATTTGGTTTGGATTGTTTTTGTAATAGGTTTAGTAACCGAATCAATCATGTGAGTGGAATGGTGCAAAATAGCATCCTAGAATTCATCCTCATATTCTAAAATATTAGAATGAAATAAATAGTATACTAACCCAAACAAAAGACTAATAAAAGAGACAGTACTGTGACCATATTCCATATTTTATCTCCGACCTGGGGCATTTTGAATGTTCTGAAATAGAAAAAATCGTGATTTAATGTAAGTGATTAAACTTATTCAGAGAATGGTATATATTATATTTCCCACCTTCGAATACAGATTGGGTGAGCTTCTCTTATCATAGTTAAGTTAGGTACATAGAGTTCTGTGATCTAAATTAGTCAAAGGTTGATATGCCCAGGTCAGCTCTCAGATCTACAAGGAGGAGAAGTATTTTATAAGTTGAAACCTATAATTTTAGAAATTAGATCTTCGGTAGGTTTCTGACTTTTACCTTAAAATCACGAAACTTCAGGTGAGTCCACCGAAGCATGTAACGGGCCAGTAATGCTTTACGGAGTTATTCTCGGAATCGCCTTCAAGGTTACCTGGTGCACTCTGTAGCTTTTCTTCAGATTTCTTATACCTGAGAGTCGCAATCGATTGTATAAACGAAAATTCAAATCAACACGTCAAATGTTTTGTTGGGTCAATTTTTTTTAAACATAGACAGTGGACAATGGAAAAATGTCAAAATCGTGAATAGTGACTGCAATCCGTCACAGGAAACAAAAAATGTTATATTCTATTGTATTGACAGGAAGCGTCACGCAGTCATGGTATTAAGTTACTAGGGCACCTGACTTAATAACTAAGATCTTCATGTATTATAATAACTATATTGGACAATATATTATGATATGTTTCATTGTCTCTCACGCTGGGCATTCATGTTTCAGAACGAAACCTAATTAATCTTAGTAGATGTGATACCTTTTAGAATCAAAATATAGTGCTAACAATCCAAAAGTAATAGCAAAAGAGATCCAAAAACATCACCAAGGCTGTGCAAACAATTTCACAAAGTTTGGTAACCTGTAATCGAACTGTTCCATTGATTTATTTGTATTCTTTGTATTATTTGTATATTTGCAAATGACCAATTGCCATGAGGCTTTGTCCAAGAATAGGACTATCAGTACTTCGACAGTTTCGCCAAGCTTGATCTATTTCGGATTGCAAGCTTAACTTTCACAGTCGATCTATCCACCTATCTATCTATCTATCTATCTAGACTAAGTTTCTAAGTTTCCTGTTTGAGTAGAGAAGAATTATGTTAGAAACGGACTATCATAGTAATCAAAGCAAACATCAAATTCCCATAACTTGCTCGATATTAGAGTTAGTATACTAATATAACGTTTTATCCCTCGCGTATTGTTTGTTATAGTACTATTATAGTTACTAATTATTAATGATAACTATTGTCCTTTTCCTGATGTAAATAGTACTTAAGTACAGTAAAAAAAACAATAATGCTTTTGAGAATTACTTATATCAATTCTTTACTAGTGTCGCTGGGCACATACTGTTTCAGCCAACAGAGCAGATCATATAACTTTGTTAAAGGTTTGGTTACACGGCTTTTGTAATGTATTTTGGATGCGTGGCTCTGTAAATGAGTTTGGCTCCATAGCTCGGTAACGTGTTTGAGTTGAAATATTTCGATCAGCAATTTAATCTCACAGTGGCTAATAATTATATGACACCCCACATAACAAGTTATTTCGCAAAATAATTTTACCAGGGATTCATATCTGTTGAGAATTTAGAGATTGTAGCCTATTATCAATAATGGTAATGTTAGGCCAACAAATCTGGCCCTACCCATTCCTCGGACGTGATATGCAGATGTGATGACCTCCTTACCGACGCGCGGAACGGATAGATTTGTCGGGCAACGGTAATATATTCTTTTGAGTAGTGATCCGTAATTCAATTATCAGCAAAGACAGTTTCGTATGATTATATTTAAAGA